GTAGAGACGGGGTTTCACCATGTTGACCAGGATGGTCTCGATCTCTTGACCTCGTGATCCACCCGCCTCAGCCTCCCAAAGTGCTGGGATTACAGGCGTGAGCCACCGCGCCCGGCCTAATTTTTGTATTTAAAATTTTCGAGACGAAGTTGTGTCTTGTCCAGGCTAGAGTGCAATGGCATGATCTCGGCTCACTGCAACCTCTGCCTCCTGGGTGATTCTCCTCTCGAGAGATTCTCCTGCCTCAGTCTCCGAAGTAGCTGGGATTACAGGCATGCGCCACCACGCGTGGCTAATTTTATATTTTTAGTAGAGACGGGTTTTCTCCACGTTGGTCAGGCTGGTCTCAAACTCCGACCTCAGGTGATCCATCCACCTTGGCCTCCCAAAGTGCTGGGATTACAGACATGAGCCACTGTGCCCAGCCTAATCTTTGTATTTTAATAGAGATGGGATTTCACCATCTTGGCTAGGCTGGGCTTGAACTCCTGACCTCGTGATCCACCCACCTCAGCCTCCCAAAGTGCTGGGATTACATTCATAAACCGCTGCGCCCGTCCTCTTTTTTATTTTTTTGAGACAGAGTGTCACTCTGTCGCCCAGGCTGGAGTGCAGTGGCACCATCTTGGCTCATTTCAACCTCTGCCTTACAGGTTCAAGCGATTCTCCTGCCTCAGCCTCCAGAATAGCTGGGATTACAGGTGCCCGCCACCATGCCCAGCTGTTTTGTATTTTTAGTAGAGAAGAGGTTTCACCACGTTGGCCAGGCTGGTCTCGGATTCCTGGCCTCAAGTAATCTGCCTGCCTCAGCCTCTCAAAGTGCTGGGATTATAGGCGTGAGCCACCATGCCTGGCCTAGAAACCCTTTCTAAACATGAATTGAAGCAAGGAGGGGCAGGGATAGGGGGTGGAGTCATCAGGCTGGGCCACAGGAGGTGGGAGTGCTAGGGACTGGCTGGGCCCTGGCCAGAGAGGGGTTAACTACAAAGCAAATCACAGAGAGCGAGATCAATGGGTTACTGGCTGCAGAGCGAGGAAAAGGCAGCGGCAACGCAGAGAGGCAAAGAGCCAGGCAGAAAAGCCTGCCACCTGGGGGAAATCAGAGACTGAAGAGGAAGTGGCCAGTGGCTACTCCAGAGGGAGTGCCCAACTCCAGCTCAGCAGAGGGGGCAGAGGAGAGGAGGGACCTTAAAGGCGAAGGGGGAGAAGTAGAAGGCAGACCAGTACCTGCAGGGAGGCACCGAGGGGCAGCTGCTGAACCAGAAGGCCCACCCAGCCTGGCCGTTCCGCCCAGGATCAAGCCCACTGCCCAGGGTGGAGGTGGGTATTGCCCATCCTGGGCTTCGGGGACCTACTGCATGCTGGGTGCTGGGGTGGGGGCAGACACTGCCTTTCTTGCCTCCTCTCTGCCTGGCCCCCCTTTCCCCTAATTTGTCCCATCATCCCAGTGGTCCCAAGCCTGCAAGGGGATCCACAGGTAGTAGGAGACGTGGGCTGTAGAGTGGGACGGGGGTGAGCATGGGCGTTGTGTGCACACACACATCCATGCACACGCACACAGGTTGTCAGAGGAACCACCTGTTACAGGTTCTCAGATGAGCACTCTAGCTTAGGAGGCGAGATACCAGGGTGGCAACAGCCCCAGAGCTGCCATTCCGAGTGTGATATTAGCCTCCCATGTCCCCTCTCTGAGCCTCGATGTCCCTATGTGCAGAGAGGGAGCAGTGACCTACATGATTTTCCCAGTTTTGCCATTGTGTTGATCTCACTATACTGGAATCTCCAATGACTCAGGGATGTTACCCATGTTTTGCTGACACTACAGCCTGTAGCCAGAGGAAACCCTGAACCCATGTCCCAGGGTCTCCCCAGAGCTTCAGATCCGCATTGAGAAGGAAATATACCAGCTTCTGGGGTTGGCCCCTCCCCCACCACCATGTCTTCATCCTACCCCGCTTGTGCCTTAGCCAGCCTCGTGGGTTGAAAGTGTCCCTCAAACACCTAGGCAGCCCTCCAGGCAGGACTCTAGGGGTGTTCTTTAGGAACTCCCACCCCTTGAACGCCATAAGCTTGCTCACGCAGTGGGACTCAGTGATGGCTTTGGCTTTGCCCTCCCCTCCTCCATCTCCCATGAGCTTCCCACAAAGAACACCTAACAGACCCAGGCGGGGGGAGCTGGACCCCAGGGTCAAGCAACCAGGACTGGGGGCTCTTGCCTGAGGACCCCAGCTTCTCTTCCCCAGGTGCCTGTCTGATGGGGAGAGATGGCTGATGCCCAGAACATTTCACTGGACAGCCCCGGGAGCGTGGGTGCCATGGCAGTGCCTGTGGTCTTTGCCCTAATCTTCCTGCTGGGCACAGTGGGCAATGGGCTGGTGCTGGCTGTGCTCCTGCAGCCTGGCCGGAGTGCCTGGCAGGAACCCGGCAGCACCACGGATCTGTTCATCCTCAACCTGGCGGTGGCTGACCTCTGCTTCATCCTGTGCTGCGTGCCCTTCCAGGCCGCCATCTACACGCTGGATGCCTGGCTCTTCGGGGCCCTCGTCTGCAAGGCTGTGCACCTGCTCATCTACCTCACCATGTACGCCAGCAGTTTCACGCTGGCTGCTGTCTCAGTGGACAGGTGCGCTGTGCCTGGGGCCTGGCTGGGCCTGGCTGCGGGGGGTTGGGGAGGATGACCTGAACAGATCCTCATTGGCCTTAGGAAGGAGAGAGTGGGGGACCAGAAAGGGAGGTGGGAGGGAGGGAAGAAAAGCTCCCTGGCCTCTAGCAAGCAGCCTCTGGGCACCTGCAGAGCATGCTTGAGGGGACTGTTCTGCCCTCCCTTTCCTCCACTGTGAGCTTCCAGAGGATGTCTCTCACTCTCAAGTGGGAGCCCAGGGTCCAGCACATAGCAAGTACTCTGTAAGCATGAAATGAATGGCAAAAGAAACTCACGCACGCGTTCAGTTTTTGTTTTTGTTTTTTGAGATGGAATTTTGCTCTTGTTGCCCAGGCTGGAGTGCAGTGGCGTCATCTTGGCCCACCGCAACCTCTGCCTCCCGGGTTCAAGTGATTCTCCTGCCTCAGCCTCCTGAATAGCTGGGATTACAGGCGCCTGCCACCACGCCTGGCTAATTTTTTTGTATTTTTAGCAGAGATGAGGTTTCGCCATGTTGGCCAGGCTGGTCTCGAACTCCTGATCTCAGGTGATCGGACTGCCTCAGCGTTCCAAGTGCTGGGATTACAGGCATGAGCCACCTCCCTCCCCACCCCCACCGCCGGCCCAGCTATATTCTAACTGCCCGCACCTGGTCCAGCTGTGCTCACATTTGCTTCCACCGCTTGAAACTTGGGGTCAAATCCAGACTCACCCCCTAGCTGATAATCTTGGGCAACTCACTTCTCTCTGGGCCTTATTTGACGCATCCATAAAATAATTCTAGAAATAACATGTCACCGGGATCTGGCCCTTGCTAGGTGCCAGGTACTGCTCTAAGCACCTGTGCGTTCGCACCCTTAATCCACGGTTGAGAGGCAGCGCACCTGGCGGTAGGCTCCGGGCGCTGGGCGTGGCGTGGGCCCGGGCCGGAGGGCGCACGCCCGCCGCGCTCACCAGGCGCCCCCCGCAGGTACTTAGCCGTGCGGCACCCGCTGCGCTCGCGGGCCCTGCGCACGCCACGCAACGCCCGCGCCGCGGTGGGGCTGGTGTGGCTCCTGGCGGCGCTCTTCTCGGCGCCCTACCTCAGCTACTACGGCACCGTGCGCTACGGCGCGCTGGAGCTCTGCGTGCCCGCCTGGGAGGACGCGCGCCGCCGCGCCCTGGACGTGGCCACCTTCGCCGCCGGCTACCTGCTGCCCGTGACCGTGGTGAGTCTGGCCTACGGGCGCACCCTGCGCTTCCTGTGGGCCGCCGTGGGACCCGCGGGTGCGGCGACGGCCGAGGCGCGGCGGAGGGCGACGGGCCGCGCGGGGCGTGCCATGCTGGCGGTGGCCGCGCTCTACGCGCTCTGCTGGGGCCCGCACCACGCGCTCATCCTGTGCTTCTGGTACGGCCGCTTCGCCTTCAGCCCTGCCACCTACGCCTGCCGCCTGGCCTCGCACTGCCTGGCCTACGCCAACTCCTGCCTCAACCCGCTCGTCTACGCGCTCGCCTCGCGCCACTTCCGCGCGCGGTTCCGCCGCCTGTGGTCGTGCGGCCGCCGACGCCGCCACCGCGCGCGCCGCGCCCTCCGTCGCGTCCGCCCTGTGTCCTCGGGCCCCGTCGGCTGCCCAGGAGATGCCCGGCCTCGCGGGAGGCTGCTGGCAGGCGGCGTCTGGGGCCCGGAGCTCAGGGAGGGACCCGCCCGCGACGGAGAGGCTGCCCGAGGGCCGGAATAAACACTGCCGTCTGGACTCTGCTGGTGTCGGTCTGTCTCACTTCCCTTCTCCGAGGGCGGGACGCCACCAGGCCAGGGATGGGGCAAGGCCACCAGCTATCTAAGGAGTGTTGAGTGGAGCGACTTGTCCCCGCTCCATGGTGGAGCACCAGCTCAGCGGACACCCCTGGGTGTCAAAATAGCACAGCCCGCAGAGCCTGCCTGTAGCCAGCCTGGCAGTCCCTCTGCCCATCCTTCCACCTGGGTGACACCTTCTAGGCCCTGCTTCCTCCACCACCTCTTACCACCCCCTTCTTGGTTCCAAGCCCAGTCCTAGATAATTTAATAACAAGTAATTTGGCTGATATTTAAGTGAGACCACACGTGCTACATTCTTTGTCAAAACAGCTTTGCAAAGTAAATATGATTAGCCCCCCCTTTTTTTAAAGAGAGGGAGTCTTCTCTGTCGCCCAGGCTGGAGTGTGGCATGATCTCAGTTCACTGCAACCTCCGCCCCCGCCCCACCCGTTCAAGCAATTTTCTTAGCTCAGCCTCCAGAGTAGCTGAGATTACAGGGTCTCAGGCCTCAGCCCAGAAGCTAACAACATTAGTGGCAGGTGGGAGGAAGGTGGGTGGATCAGAAATCATTGAGACTGATTTATTGGTTAATTATTGGGTTTTTACCACCAGAAACTTCCACAGCTGTGTGTGGCGCTAGGGAGGGAAGGAGCCACTGGGAGGCCAGCTGGAGGCCAAGCATGGCTCAGTTCTGAGCCAGGGGCACCAAATGGAATAACACAAGGTGTTTGGAGCAGGGAATGCACCTATGACTTTATGCCCAGGAGAAGCCCATCTGGACTGGCTGGCCTGAGCCCTGGAACAGAAATCTGTTAAGGAAGAGGTCTGAGGTTTTCCGGGCACCCAGTCAGGTGTGGGAGATAAAGTTTTTGAAAAGAATCGGTAAGAACCAAGAAAAACCGTGGAAGCTGAGAGGAGATGCCCCAGAGG